TAGTCTGACAGAGGAAAAAACAAAACAAAACAAAAAAATCCCCAAAGCCGTGCACACACAAATTACAGAGTGATGCATCATTTAGAAGGAATTTTACTGACTTTGGGTGGTATGGATGATAATGCAAAAGGACTGTTCCATTCTTTCTGGCATGGTGGTGGTGAGGAGCTACACTAAAATCACCCATCTGGGAAATGCATTAGAATCAGAAATGAAAGGAAGAATGGCTTTAATCCTGCAAAAAAGGTTGCCATGGATAACATCATGGCGTCCAGGTGGGACAACTGCAAATGAAACTGTCTTCAATGGAAGCCAACAGAAAACTCACTGCAGTCAAAATAAGGCCTTAGTGAAAAGAACAGAATATTTTCTACTGAGGACAGTAATAATCTCCCAATTATGTACTTTAAAGTAAATGCAACTGTTAATACACTATTGCTAATTGCTCTGGTTTGGAAGCCAAAGACAAAGTGTTGTTTTTTTTAGTTTTGCTTCAGACAATCTTGAGCAACAGAACAACTCTGAGAAGTATAGCTTAGTTACTGAAACATGGCTGAAGGAGCTAATTTGCTGGAATACTCTATTAATATACAGAAGCAATAGGATATAACAGTTTTAACACAGGAAAAAATACTGGCTCTTTTTGAGTGAACACAGGTATTTCTTATGAGAATCCTGTTCAGGGTGAAAGTACGTCAAGTTCCAGTGTACTGCTAATACGTAAACAGCTGAACTGCAGACATAACGGATGGGCATTGAAACCTGTATGTCTATGATCTTAAAAAACAACAGATAAAAATGCCTGATAACTATGTTTGGATTTACTAGCCTTGCTCAGCAATACCATTTGGTTTTGAGAACAGCTAGACCTAGGTAGAGCTGATAGACAGAAGCCATACTGGACTATAGACCTCTGTATCACTCAGTCTTCGGGCACACAAATAAGATACTACCAAGTAACCTTGGGGTACCACCTTATGTTAACTTGCTTTTTTGTGCAAGCTTTCATTTGCTACCCTAGAATATTGGCAAAAGCACTTTGAAAAAAAAAATACAGTTGCTGCTGACTCATTCTTGGAGTTAGTTAGCCAGTTTTCAGTGGATTCCTTAGCACCATTGTGGTTTCTGAAGATTTCTCTGAGATTGACAGCTCTTTTCTTTTTCTGCTCTAAATGTCAATTGGTTTGATAGCATTACTCACATTTGCATGACAGATTGAATCTATAAATTCATGTTTGGATTTAGAAGATAACATATTTACAGTCAGTCTTGATTTGTCAGGTTTCCCGTCCTGTACTAAATTGAACTTACCTTAAATGCCATCTGAATAGTCTCTTCTGTGTTGGCAGGATTACAAATAACAGACAAACCAATCACATATTCTCTGAAATCTATAGTGCCATCTCCATTCTGTAACCAACAAGGCAGATAGAAATAGTTGAAGTTAAAAGGCCCATTGTATAATTCAGCTATACAATATGTAATAAAGCTTAGTTTAGTGTTTTTTCAGAAAAAATAAAAATAGTAATTTTGTAAAATATAAAGAAAAAGATCTTCAATAGTGTACTTTGAGAAACCATTTCTACAGATACAAAATAGGAACCAAAATTCAATTTTTAGGTGCCAGGTCACAAAAGGGTTACCAACTAAGAATAGACAGGTTTATTAGCAGGTTATCAACTGAAATTATTTTTCAGTATCAAAAGGGGACTTCCTCAAAATAAATGCAACAGTCAATATACTTCAGGCATTTGCCATCCTTTGAAGACCAACACAATGTCTTTGAACAAAAAATCAAAACTGTAAGAGCATTGCTTTTTTGAGCCAATTGTTTCCTGGAAATGTTAACAACATAACAGTTTTCAGCAAGCACAAAATAGTCAAGAAGTTAGTCCCCTTTCATTACCATGGTTTGAAGTAGGTTCTATATTCTATATCATGAGCTAAACTATAGAGATACTGAAATTAAAAGATAAGGTTCTATTTTATATTTGCAATTTTGGTCTACAATTAATCAGAATGATGGTATTATTCATTTAATTATTCATCAGAGGTCCTCTAAATATTCTTACTGCACACAGGACTATAGACTATATCACCAAGTGAAGAACTGCTTACAGTTTCACTGTAACTATTATTTCCAGAAATTTATAATGGAATGAGTTTAACTTCAGTATGACTTGGCTATTTTTAAAGCTTATTTAAGAATGAAAGCTGATTTAGGAAAGATCCAAAGGCGGAGAGTATGAATGAAAGAACTGTCAGGTTATGGAAAAGGAAAATACTGTAAATCTATTTTAAAGTAAATATAGACCGAGTTGTAAAAAATGGAATCAGAAATGGTTCATAAAGGGATTAATGCTTTAATTGTAAGTGGTGAACGACAGTGTTAATAGGTTGTAAATTATTTCTAGCCATGTGCAAACATACAAGAATTAAAATTCTTTGCAATTAGAAACATCTGATTCTAACCATTTGAAGTGTAGGTAAATACAATTATTATTTTTTCTTGTGACTCTGTCATACTAACCCCCATGATGCTGTATAATTTCCAGGTGTTTGGGGATTTTGTTGGTGACAGGAGAAACAGGAAATATATTGTTTAGGAAACTAAAAGGAGCTGAAAATACAAGATGTGTATGGCTGCTGACCAGGGAATGGCCAAGAGGAAAAGGTGTATTTGGATAGTAACAGTCAGCATCATTGGTCACAAGTACAAATTAGTAACCCAAATGTCCTTGTTACAATTATTTATAGCTCTAAAAAAAATGTTTCATGCTTGTCAAAGGAAAATCATTATTAGTCACATATGTTGCAACAGAGAGAAGCTCCTGCCAGATTCATCAAGAGAAGACTTGCCATTAACTGCCTTACTTTCATAAGATGATCATGCAAGAGGTTGTTTGTTGTATTTTCTTTCCTGCCCCTTCCCACACCTGAGATCTGATTGGCCTGAAGGAGATAAATTCTGAAGCAAAAAGCAATGTGGCAATAAAAGGTGTACTCTCTCATACTCCATCTTCTAACTTCTAGCCATCATGCTTCCCAAGGTAACAGCAGGATACTCAGATTTATGATTTGTGGAAAAATAGCACATGCTGTTTGTATGTAGTTAGCCTATTCTAACAATCTGGACAAATTAAAATATTTTAAGTCACTGTGTTTCAGCCTGCAATATACACTATACAAGGGGAAAAAATCAGGCTGACTAGCTCACTGTACTACACATTTGCTATATATTTATGATATACATATTCATTACAAGGCTTCAGGAAAAAAAAAAAAAAAAACTACCATGAGGCTCCTAGGAATCATGTTTCATGCCAGCAGGAAATAATGAAGCAGCAATTTATTGCTAATAATCAATGGATTTTCATTATCATAACATCACAAATTACTCTTCCTTCTTACAAATAACTTCTTACAAATTAGAAAGTTAGTTCACCTGTATTTGGTAGCAATATTGGCAGTCTGGAAATATTTTCTGTTTCCAGCAAAATATGCAATTATAAACATATACAAATTATGACACATAAATAAAAGACTTATGTACTTTCTGATAGCAATAAAACTTAGTCTGGCATACAGACAAGTGCTGTGAAAACAAGGAAAAAGGCTATGGTTAGTCAACAGAGGCAAAAGTTTAAGTCTGCAGATGTAGATCAAGTGGTGGCCCATTTCAGTGTTCTCTCTTAGGAGTACATGGTCATCTGCAGCCACTCTTCAAGGCTCATTTTGATCTGTCCATTTCCATCTCGATCCAGGGACTTAAAGGCACGGAACATGGCATCTAGCCGCACCAGGCAGCTGATAAAATTATTGAAATCCATACTCCCATTCTTATCGGAGTATCTACGGACGATCAACTGGTAAAGCTGTTCATTCAGCTGAAATCCTGCAGCCTTCAAGGCATCTGGTATCTGAACTCTCCCAACAGTCCCTGACTGGTCAGTGTCAAACTGTTTGTAAACACACTGCCACTTCTTGATGTTGTTCCACAGATACTTGAATTCCTCAAAGTCCAGTTTGCCTGTTGTGTCACTGTCCATGACTGCCACCATGCTCCGGCAAGTGTCCAGGCTGAAGCCCTCTGTTTTTAGGTCTTGATGTCTAGCAACAACCTTGTTCAGTATGTTCATTAGCTCTGTGGCACAGACCTCCATGTCATCTCCAGCTAGCTGGGCAAAGAGTCGACGAAACTGACTGACCTCTTCACTCTCACCAGCTTCCACATTTATAAAATGGCTGCGAGGAGGTGGAGGTTGCTCCGGAGTATACTGAGCCGCTGCTTCACTGATGAGGTTCACAAGTCCTCCAACAAGCCCTCCAAGATTCCCTGCTCCTTGTCCACCACCTCCTAGAAGACCCCCAAGGCCACGTACAAGGTCCCCTCCACCACCACCTCCTCCACCTAGTAAAGCTTTAGCAAGGAACATGTCAGTGGTTCAAAGTTGTTGGTAGATTATCCAGGTGAGAGCAGAAAATCCTGCTCCCTCTGACAGCTGTAAACGAGTCTGTACTGGGTGTAGGCAGACTAGAGTTTGTGTCTAAGACTAGAACTTGCCATGCCCATGCATGTCTCAGAGCTTTTAAAATGCCTGAATTCCCTCAGGTGTGAGCAGCTGCCCCCAGTTTCTAACAAGCCACAAAATGTTTATCTCCCCAGAACCAGTTTTCTTCTTTTATTTTGCAAAATCAGATGCATTTTCTTTGGTGTAAAATTGTTTTAGAGAGACTGAAAACCATACTGCAGATATTTCAACATTTCCTGGGAGATCTTTTTTAAGTACAGCATTTGCAGTATAAGTACTACAACACTGGAACAACCCACAGTCAAGGTTAGCCTAAATTCTAACTCTGAAGGTGTGCAGTTTAGGTTACTGGCACTGTATCTGTATCTACACTGCCCCTGCCTGGTATGCCTTTGACCTTGTCATTGAGTTAAGTCCAGCTCTGAGAATATGAGACACTAAAGTTCTTCATCCAGGTAAAGGCTGTATGGCCATCAGCAATACAAGATTCCCCAATGAGATCTGCCAATGGACCTTGGCCGTCATCTAGGATAGCCACAACCAAAACATTACTGGAAAGTTTTATATGAGACTAAATATACCCATAGCCTCTCTGCTCAGACTGAGTCCACTGTGATGCCCATTTCCCCTGCCAACATTTTAAATGGAATGTTAGAAACATATTCCCATATCCTCCAACGCAATAAATACTTACCCTATCAAAAAGTAAGAACAGCTCTCTGAGAACATCTGAAACAGGCAGCTTCAAGTAGTCTGCAAACTCCTCAATTCCAATTCTCCCCCCTTTGGAGGCACCTGCAATAGCAGCATATGTATCCAACTGGTCCCTGATATGATCCCATTTTAGACTATAAAAAAAAAAGGGGCACATAATTAATTCACCTGCAACAAATCTTACAATAGGTAGAATTTTATCAGCAAGAGAGTGATGTGCAGTTTTCTAAATAGAACACTGCATAGAGCAGGAGTAGACTACCCCTGAACGCGTGCCACGGCACGCAAAAACATTTTGGTGCTTGCACCTCAGGAAGGAGGAAGGGCTGTGCTGCCACAACAATTTTGCATGTCATGGTAGAAAGCAGAAACTCTTTACCTAAACTATTCCTAGAGGGGACTTGTGAACCAAACCTCAAATGCCTAAATAGCAAATTATGACATTTAACAGATGCAAAATAAATCAAATTTCATCTGTCCTGCTTTTAAACCAAACTTTTTCATTCCACTGATGCTGCCATTTTCAACATATAGTATTCTATATTCAATGGCTCCCTCATGGCTCCCCTGCCATTCACCCCTGGCATACCAACATCTTACAAGTCAAGGTCTCAGGTATTTTTGGCACTCTGCCCAAAAATGTTGCAAACCTCTGGGTTAGAGTATGAAAGCCATTAAAAATACTGCACTTCCAATCTGATGATTCAAACTGAAATGGAATTAACCTTCCACCCTACAAATGTCATCCCTTTTTAGGGCAAATATCTTTTTATTGGACCAATCGCATGATTGGGATAGACGTAGACAAGCTTTTGAACACAATGGAATGGATTTTATTCGAGATCTTTTGTATTTAAGACCTTTTCTAAGTCTCTCTCATCCATGCAGTTGGTCCAATAAGAGATCACCCACAGAAATCCTTGCCTCTTGTGTTGGCTACAAAGGACCAACTCACAGGATCATAATAAATTCTAGTTTATTGGATGGGATGTGAAGTTTCCAATAAAATCATAAATGCAAACTTTGAGTTATGGGTGGTACTGGTCACCCTAGCGCGCACACACACACACACACACACACACACACTCATTCAATCCCATGTAGTATAGTGTCTATAGTATAGTGTCTAGTGGCTGCTCTAGTGATAGTGAGCACTGGTGTCAGTATATCTACCTATCCGAGGCCCTGAAGTCTGCTGTTGATGGTCAGCTTCCTTCAAGCTGATGTCTTCTCCAGAAGGGGGTCACCTGCTTGTCCTTCTGTCTCAGCAAGTCAGGTGCTGGATGAGAGGGCACCACTGAGGGTCATGCTTCCCTGCCTTTTATACCTTTCTGGCAGACTTGTATGTTCCCCCAGCATCATCTTGGCTACCCAATCCAGAGGTCACTGTCCCATGTGGGTCTTGAGTAGTACCTGACAGCTGTTAGTTACAGGGGTCTCTGCCTGCTGGTACCTGAAGTTTTGGGAGTGCACCCTTGCCTTATTGACTTAATGGCTGTATTGTCATGGGTTACAGGAATAGTCCATAGGGTGAGTGCTCACTTCTAGGAATCAGTTCTTTAGCTTGATTAGCTTAAAATGGAGTTCCTTTGGCTAGGCTGATGATCATCATTCACTTGCATTCAGTCAACAGATTTTATCATTTTACAATTACAATTTCAGTTTTAGCAATGGTCCAGGGTATAACTTCATTCTACAGGGAGTACATCCCATAGGAGTTTAAAAGTATAAAATATAAAATGCAAAATGCCATGGTAAAGATGAGACAGATGAAATGTGAAAATGCACTGTGAGAAATACATAAAAATGCAATGTGAGGTTGTGAGGATCAAAGGCTACTGGGGACAGTAAGTGAGTTAGGTTAGCAAAGGATATATTTACAGTCTTTGCAGTGAATATTTTAGTTATTTTGTTTTCTTTAGTGACACTGATCTTAATTGATATGTGGATGTAGTTTCTAGGTTTCTCCAACAGAAAGCCACTTCAGCTTTCTGGCTTGCTCCAAGCCTTGCCACACCCGGGCCAGAAGGGAAATGTACAAAGGGGGCTTTCTGCTACACTTGCATATTTCTTCAGCCATAATGGCATTTGAACACAATCTTTTTTCAGGGTAATTATTATCTCAATACAGTATCTAGCACGAGCACTAAGGCAGCATTTTGAATCCAATTATCCTTCACTGCTTCATGTCAAAGCATTAACATATTAACTTTCCAAATGGAAGAGAGACACTCTGTAACTAACATTCAGGTAAAGTTCTGATATTAATACAATCTAGAAACTATCTTGTTTAGTTGGCAGAAGTTAAAGCATTCCACCCCAAAAGTAGGCCAGTAGCTAGGACATTAGTCTGGGGTTAGAGGAAGCTGGGTTCAATCCTCTGCTCTTTGACAGACTTTCAATATGACACACAGCAATTTCTCACTTGTATAGCAGGGTGCTGGGAGAGTACATTAAGGATCCTGAGGCACTCTGGGTATTTCTACACTGTGCCAATAGCACTCAGAGACAAATGCCCCCATACACATCCCAAACTCAGAAATGTGATGGTGAAGATACTTTGGGTCTATCTTCATCATCCACTTTTGAAACCTCTTTGTCCAGTGTGCTTGAGAGTGCTTGCAGGGGACGTCTCTGGCATATTTCTGAGTTTGGCTCACACAAGTGGCACCAGGTGGGCAGGGCAGGCTTGGAGTCTCCATCCTCAAGAGCACTGGGATGCAGCATAGACATATCTTGACATGCTAGTGTAACAGGGCTAGTAGCTGGAGAACCTGACACCACTATGTTGTACAGCTCTGCAATAATTAGTGAACTACAAGAAGAAAAACCTTTCTTACTTCAACTTCTTGCTAATTTTGGTAAATTCTACCAGCCCAGCATCCATAGGTAAGGTCAGCTGTCCTGCTG